TCTTTTTTTTTTTTTTTTTGCAAAGAAGCAGCCGGGTATAAGGAGTGATTTAATCAGGGTCTCAGAAGTAGAACTGGAGCAGAGCCGGGGTCCTGGTGCCCACCGGTTCTCTCCCCTCTGCACTGGCCTGCGTGTGACCCAGAACCCTGGTCCTGACCGGTTACCCTGTGGGTCACTCGCTGCCGTTGTATTGTGCCTCTTGTATTGTGGTATTACTCCTTTTGGGAAGGTGGTATTATCCTGTTTCATCCTGTAGAAACTGAGTGAGGGTAAGAGGAATTTAATGATTTTATGACTGTTTGTGGCAACTCCTTAGTATGAAGGTCGATTTTCAACTTAGAGAGCAGAGCCGTTCTTCTAGACCACGTGGAGAGAAGAGAGCAGAAAATTAGTTTCAGGAAAAAGCGATCCCTTCCTTTAGTGGCATGGTTCAGGATAACCTCCCATCGCAGTCCCATCCTTGCGCGCCTCGCTGCTTGTGCCAGCCTGCATGACAACCCAAAAGACTCCTTTAGATGTTGCTGAACTAGTTACCATAAAAAGTAGCTCACTTTCAAACTCCCACGTTTCAACAACAGAGAAATTCAGTACAAAGGTATTTGAAGGTATGTTATAGACGGAATTTATTGTCTTCTTTTCTGAGTGCCAGACACAAAGATTTCAGTAGAGAGGCATTTTAAAAGGGCTCCCTGGAAACTTTGGAAAGGCAGTAGCTATAGGTTTTTATTACATATTCCTGTTTGGAGATTAGTGTGTATTGCAGTGGATAGGTTGTTATATAGGAGTAGAACTTCTGCCCCAGAGAATTCTTAGTCTTTACCTGAAATAATAAACCCAGAATGTTTGTGTTAAATTAATTCATCATAACCATGAAGCCTGTAATTGCAGTTCTGCAGTAGTGAGGAAAATGGCTTTCAGGGGTTCTTAGGATTTTTCTTTTCTTTTTAAAAAAAGAACAGTCGAGGGACACCAGGCTTTATTTATTTAAAAAAAATTTTTTTTTTAAATCCTCACCAGAGGATATTTTTTTCTTTGCTTTTCAGAGTGAGTGGAAGGAAGGGAGAGAGCGAGAAACTCGATGTGAGAGAGACACATCAACTGGTTGCCTCCTCAACTGAGGTACATGCCCTTGGCTGGAACTGAACCTGGGACCCTTGCGTCCAAGGGCTGATGCTCTAACCACTGAACCATACTGGCTAGGGCTTAGGTTTTTCTGTAAGGCATTAACTTGTTTGTGCATTTTCCAGATTTGCTACTTTAGAAAATTCTCTTAAGGCTTTTATAAATTCTTTAGTGTTTTCCTTAATTATCTGCTAACAGAATTTATACATTAGGCATAATTAACCTTTGAAGCTTAAACGTGGGTGAACTTTCAGTACTGTTTTATGTGTTTTGGGAATGGTCATCCAGTCGTTGCCACAGAATTTTTATTTGGGCCAAAGGTCAGATTTTTCCAGGTGAACTGATTTTACAGGGTCTGGAGCCTTTCTTTGAACTTTATAATTGTGCTTGGTTGTATCCACTGTTGTTTAAAACGATCTTTAGTAAGGCGGGCCACTTTAAAGGAAAAATTTTTTCATTCTTACCCTTGTAATCTCCATTCCTGGCAAATTTTCTGAAATGTTAGTTTTTTCTTTGTCTTAATCAAGTAAAACAAGCCCCTTTCAGGATCTTCCTTCTGCTGCCTGTCTTGTGGTCATTTAGCTTCACATTAAGCCCTCCGCTGGAGACTGAGCCAGAAGGGAGAGAAGATGAAAAGAAAATAAATCATTTTCTAATTGTTAGCAGCTCTGGAAAATGATTTAGAAGAGATGGAAGCTATTCTGGAAATTCTTTTGGATTATGTTCTTTTTCATTCATCTGCATTCTCTCTGAGATGTTCCTAGCAGTTATCATTTCGGAGGCTGATTATCTAGCTATTGGAAGACCAGGAATCTTTCAGCTTTGTTTGGTTTGTTTCTTGCTCTATCTAAACATCTCCATAGAGGATATTTAGAAGTAAGGCGTAGATAAAATTTAAACTAATCAATATTTCCCCCCCCCCTTAGAGCTCTTTATTGAACAATTTGAGGGTTTTTTTGAATAGTTTAGTCATTGTTATTGGAAGTGACTTTATTTTATTTTTGATGTATCTTGTATACAAGTGTAAGGAGGCTTTTGGGTGCTTTTTAAGAAACGTGGGCTTATATAAATTCCCATAATTGCTTTCCTGAATTATTAAGCTTGAGGTTTCATTACATCTTTGTACCGGGAATAGAACCTTGGCTTTAGTTGTGGAACAGATTCAGGGGCATCATCTAATTTTCTTTTTATGATTGCTCAAGAAGTTATCTTGTTTTGATTTAGCAGTAAAAAAGAAAAAGATTAATAGTGGACAGACCTTGCATAACAGCTGTAACATTGATGATGTCTGGTTTTTCTCCTTGTCTTTGGTCCCCATTTTTCATTTAACCATTTGGATATTCATGTGTTGGGAGTTATTTACTTCACTTATAGATAGGACAGCAGCCTTCAGTCACACTAGTGAGTAGGTTCTTGATGGTTTGCCTCAGGGGAATTTTTACAAACCCGTTATGACTGCTCACTCAGACTGAGTGACTATTACGTTTGTAAATAAAACCAGTCTAGGTGGATAGGGTTAATAGATAGCTGTAGGGGGTCTCAAGTTAATCCTTTCAGTTTCTTATTTCTGTTCCTTCATTTTCCATCCAAAGAGGGGATTTATGGAAAGATGTAAACTAGGAGTCAGAAAACCCAAGTTCTTAATCAGTTACTTTCCAGCTGTGGGGCCTAGAGCAAGTCCCTATCTGCTGTTTCTCTATTTTCCATCTATAAAATGAGGGTAGTAATCCATGCAGTGCTTGCTGTATCAGGAATGTTGTGTGTGGGGGAGAAAGGCCCCTTCCCCCTTTTACTTCAAATGTTTCTTTATTCTAGAATCCCTTCTCAGGTTGTCCAGCTATTCCTGCAGAGGTTGACTGAGCAAGTTCTTCCCAGAAGTCCTCCATTTTTCCATTTGGAACCGTTCTTGCTCTTTCTTCCAGAAGGCCTCTGCCAGTCTGTTACATAGCACTTTTGAATTCTGTACTTCAGGTGTCGCATGTTGCCTTTCTTCATAGATTGAAATCTCTGTGAGGGCAAGAATTGTACCTTTCCTGTTTCTGTGTATCCATATTGCACATGATGTTTATTGATCTACAGTAATTGTTGTTTGACTGACTTATTTTTGAGGCTGTCAGGAATGAATACTTGGAGTGATGAGATGCCAAAGGTGGGCATCTTACCAAAACTTTTGGATGACTAGTCTTTTAAATTGTTACTTATCTGTCTGTTTTATCAGTAAACTGAATCAGATGCTAATAATACAAATTGGTAAAGCCTGTTTTCTGGTTCTCTTCAAATACTGTTTGGGAAGCAAGTCGGAGGAATGAAAGCTTGTCACAACAGCCCTGAATTTGACATTTGTTCCATTTCTCACCCTCTAGCATGTGGAGGCCTATCTGTATCCAACTGCTGAGTGTGGAGAATAAAAACTGACTGTGCGTTGTCTGGTCCACATTTTAGCCTGTTTGCTTTGAAGAATTTTTGAGGTGGAGAAATAGATGCTTCAGGCTCTGATTTCAGCCCATGCTGTGCTATGCAAATGTTCTCTACATGCCTGAGTGACCTTTTGAGAAAGAGCCTTTGTGATCTTTTGTAGCCAGGGCCTGTTCTGGGAATAGTGTGCCAGATTTCTCTAAAAGTGGGAAAAGTGAATCTGTTTAAAGACCACAATAAAGAAGCCAGTGCTTTTCCTGGATAAATACCGATAAGTCCACATTTCTTACTGTCTCGTCAGAGCTTCTGAAATTTACTTTGCTGGTTGATTGGGGAATGATGTGTGTGAGAGGGTACTGACTAAACCAGTTCAGTAGCTGGGAAGCTGTTAAGTAATTTGGAATTGTAGATAAATTCAAACTGGCATCATTAGTATCTGGGTGTTTATCAATGTTTTCAGGCTGGCTCTCCTTACTTGCTGTCTGAGTGACTCTCAAACAGATTTGTAAGGTTCTTTTTGCCCCAAAATATGCTCTAATGGTTTGGTATTTAAATTATTTTTTTATTTGTTTTGATTATTGTATAAAATGAAACATATCAGTATTAAAAATATAATTAGTTTTTATGTTATGAAAGAAATACCATTCTGATGTATTTCTCTCGCAGAGTGATACTGGTGTTTTGGAGGTTTATGGTTTTTAATGCTTTTACCGAGATGTTTAGTTTGTATAGCCAAAATGCTGATGAAAGAGTTTTTTTCCTACCTTTATCTTAAACAACCTTTTTGATAAGGATCATGGTTGGTTTTTACAAGGATAAAGTTGTAGAGTTAATCATAATGTTCTATAGAAATTCTAAAAATTGAATTTGCAGAGAAGATAGGTAGAATTTGAATGACTAGTTAGTTTACTTACTAGACTCTTCCTCTTTCTCTAAGTATTGGATAATTATTTCTCTGTAGAGATTAGGTACATGTTGTTCAAAGAATAGAGTACCCATAGAGGCCCTAGAGCAGCAATTTTCAACCTTTTTTCATCTCGTGGCACACATAAACTAATTACTAAAATTCTGCAGCACACCATAAAATACAGGTCAAACCTCAGTTCTTGAACGTCTCCCATCTCAATTTGGTTCTCGACCACATTGTTCACAAAAAATGTCTTGGCTGTTGAATAAAACCTCAGTTCTCGACCTGACAACCCTTTTATGCTGATACCTATGTGATCAGTCACGTGTCTCTCAGACCACAAAGGAGGAGAGAATGAGCAAGTGAGTCAGTTTACCCTTAAACCTCGAGTTGTTAACATCGCAGGAAATTATGATGTGAAGATTTTTGTGTTTTTTGCTTTTGGGGTCTGGAACTGATTAATTCAATTTACATTATTTCAAATGGGAAAAAATGATTTGGTTTTTGAACAAATCACTCCTTAAACAGCCTTCTGGAACTAATTGAGTTCAAGAACCGAGGTTCCACTGTATGTATATTTTTTGCCCATCTGACCAAAAAAAGGTATAATTTTAATTCATTCACATTGGATGGCTATTGTTGTGTTGGTTGTTGTTATTTTTTTATTTGACAGTCTAAGGGAAAAGAGGTCAGTGTGCCTGACTAAATAGTCAGGTATTGTATGTTTTAAAAATTCTGGCGGCAGACCTGTTGAAAATCGCTGCCCTAGAGGAATGCTTTCTTCCTCGGATCTTTGCCCTGTAGCAGGTTTTAACTGAGCAAAAATGAGTAGTTTTCTGGTGTTTCGCCTGTTCTGTGGGATGGAAAAATCTTTCCTGTTTTCATAGTTACATGTGCTGTCCTGTCTTTTTCTCCTCCCCAAGTTTCCCTGGAACCTGGGCTCCCCAGACGCAGTGCTGGAGCAGATGGATAATGGAGACTGGGGCTATATGGTGAGAGGCTTTTGCAGATGTGTTTTGAAGGTTATCAAATTATTTTTGTATGTCTTTCCCCCCTTTCTTATGTACTCTTAGGTATAATACATCTTGTAAGAATGAAAATTATTGGTGCAACTCCCCTTAATTAGTTTAGATGTATTTTGGGGGTGTTTTTGTTTTGTTTGATGTTTTTATATAAGCAAACTCAATATAGACTCTCAAAGTAACTTTTTAATCACGTATTTGAGAGAGATCATGATTTTTGGTCTTTAAAGTTTGTTGCTCTTAACACTCTTCCTTCATAGAATAGTGAGTATGAAAAGGGTCTAGTAGGAAATGGTACAGAGGATATTTCCTTGTGGTTAGGGAGGTTAACCGTTGAGAAGGTGCCATTTCTCCCACTTGTACTTTCTTTGCGTGTGCATGTGTCTTCCTATTTTTTTTTTTTACTTCAGTAAGAGATATTTTACTTGCTTAGTACCTGAAGTCTGTCAGTCTGTCTTTATATTTTTTCTTAAATATGATCTCTAAAACCAAAGGTATATATTATTTAGAGAAACTTGCTTTTCAAAACTAAAGGCCAGATTGCAACATTAATGTTTCAAAAGTGAATACACTATCAGTTTTTGAAATTTAAAAGTTGCTATTAGTATTTGGTTATATGAGATTGTGTTGATCAAACTGTGTATTTTAACTTAGTATTTGGCACTTATTGCCACGAAACAGTTAAGATTAGGTAGGTCTGCACGAATTTTTATCTTTAAAATAAAGTTCATGATTTTCCCCCCTCTTTTTTTTTGAGGGGGGAGAAAACAGAAGAAATATTGAAAGTAGAGTCTTTTCATTATCAAATAATTTTTTGCCTATTTTATGTCAAATTGAGTTAAGAAAAATGAAAGACTTTATATTTTAAATATTTTCACCCAAGGAGTGAGGATATTTTTTCCATTGATTTTTTTTTTTAGAGAGAGTGGAAGGGAGGCAGTGGAAGCAGAAGGAGAGAGAGGGGGAAGAGAGAAACATTGATGTGAGAGAGAGACATTGATTGGTTGCCTCCTGCACGTGCCCTGACTGGGGGCGGGATTAAACTTGCAACCCAGGTACATGCTCTTGACCAGGAATCCAACCTGTGTGCAGGCTGACGCTCTAATCACTGAGCCACTCTTATTGATATTTATTTTTTAGAGTGAGAGGAAGGGAGAGGGAGGCAAAGAGAGAGAAAAACATTGATGTGAAAGAGAAACATTGATCAGCTGCCTCCTGCATGCCCCCTACTGGGGATTGAGCCCGCACCCAGGCATGTGTCCTGACCGGGAACCAAGCTGGTGACCTGTCCGTGCATGGGATAACACTCAACCAATTGAGCCACACCGGCCAGAAAGTCTCTTTTTTAAAGCAGAAAGAAACTTAATTTATTTTAGTTTGCTCTTTGTCTTTCCATAGTATACTCTTACCTGAAACAGCTCTTTAGATGCTAGGCCTGAAATTAAGTGACTTTGGAAGTGATGCCCTTGTTTCTTAGTATGTCTTTAAAGAATTAGATTTATCCCTTTTTTCCCCCTATTGAAAACATGGGTTAGATCCTTGCATTTATGTGGGTTTATCACTGAAAGTAAAGCTGTTTTGCACAGTAGGATTGCTAAATACCTTATAGCCTGAAGGAAGCTTTTGCTTTGCTTGTTATCATTTTTCTTAATTTGTCAAAGTGAGGATTTTAAAAATTACAGGTGACTAATTATTTTTTACAAAATTTCAGATGACTGACCCAGTCACATTAAATGTAGGTGGACACTTGTACACAACGTCTCTCACCACATTGACCCGATACCCGGATTCCATGCTTGGAGCTATGTTTGGGGGGGACTTCCCCACAGCTCGAGACCCTCAAGGCAATTACTTCATTGATCGAGATGGACCTCTTTTCAGATATGTGCTCAACTTCTTAAGAACTTCAGAGTTGACCTTACCCCTGGATTTTAAGGAATTTGATCTGCTTCGAAAAGAAGCAGACTTTTATCAGATTGAGCCCTTAATTCAGTGTCTCAATGACCCTAAGCCTTTGTATTCTATGGATACTTTTGAAGAAGTTGTGGAGTTATCTAGTACTCGGAAGCTTTCTAAGTACTCCAATCCAGTAGCTGTCATCATAACCCAATTAACCATCACCACCAAGGTCCATTCCTTACTAGAAGGTATCTCAAACTATTTTACCAAGTGGAATAAGCACATGATGGACACCAGAGACTGCCAGGTTTCCTTCACTTTTGGACCCTGTGATTATCACCAGGAAGTTTCTCTGCGGGTCCACCTGATGGAATATATCACAAAACAAGGCTTCACGATCCGCAACACCCGGGTGCATCACATGAGTGAGCGGGCCAATGAGAATACAGTGGAGCACAACTGGACTTTCTGTAGGCTGGCCCGGAAGACAGACGATTGATATCCAGCCCTGGGGGTTGTTCCTGGATACTGACTCTCGAGGAGATGGAAGAGACTGATTTTTTTTTTTTTCAATCACAGTGGGATTTAAAAAAAAAATTTTTTTGTATTTATTTGAAAGTATTGAGGACCAGAAGGAAGTCTTATGCTTTAGCAGAATCCTCTATGTTTGTTCTCTTGACCCTGAGTATGCATGTGCCTGTTCAGAGCCTCCAGATAACTTTTTTATAAAAAGAAGTCTGAAAATTATTATGGTATATAATCAACCCTTAACAGAGCTTTTTTTATTACAGTGCTAAAATGATTTCTGATTAAATGGTCCCTAACTCAACTAGAAGGCTCAAAATTATAGGAATGAAAGAATAAACAGAGTGGTACTCATGATGCTTTTGACAAAAATCAAAACATCATGTAGGGTGACCTAGTTTCCAAACCAATAAGCAGTATTGTAATATTAAAGGAAAACTGTTCCAATCATTAAAAGTACTTGTTAAGTACTGCTTTTTACAGTTACAGCAACTGTTTCTTTCTATGCATATAAATCAAGCAACCAAATATCTGTAGCCATGGAAATGTCTGACTAGAAATATTTATATTGGATTCTGAATACAAAATGTCCCTGTGGTAGAAATCTTACTTCTTATGCCTGGTGCAGTATAATTCCTCAGTGTACTGTCTACCAGAAAAAAACTAATAAAAAATGAAATAGAAAAATTAAGTTTTTATTTATTGACTGTTGTTACTTAAGGGGGGAAATCATATTCCTTGTCTAAAGTATGTGTTATTTGCTCTGTGTACCGATCTACACTGCCAAAGCACACTTGTATTTGATTCAAGAGGACTCAGTGGAACCTTAGGATGCAGTTTATAGAACTTGACTGTGTTATTAAGCAGGAATAGATGGGATTACTAATTTTGTCTAAAAGTGTACAATTTGAACAGTGAACATACAACTTGACAAATTTTGTCAAATAGGACTTAATGAAGATTAAAGATTTTTCGTTAATAAGCCACCATTTGTCATATCTGTGAATATGACCCTTATCCTAGCTTTGTGATGAGTACAGGAACAAACTGACTCTTCATCCATCTTAGCTCTTATACAGTGGAACCTCAGTTCTCGAACTTAATTTGTTCCTAAAGGCTGTTTGAGAAGTGATTTGTTCAAAAACGAAATCATTTTTCCCCATTAGAAATAATGTAAATTGAGTTAATCTGTTTCAGGCCCCCAAAAGCAAAAACACACGAAAATCTTCACAGTACAGTTTCCTGAGATGTTAACACAAGGGTTAGTGGTAAACTGACTCACACTTGCACATTCTCTCCTTTGTCTGGGACCTGAGAGACACAGGATTGATCATACAAGTATCAGCATGAAAGGGTGGTTGGGTTGAGAACTGAAGTTTTATTTGACAACCCAGATATTCTGTGAACAGCGTGGTCAAGAACTAAGTTGTTTGAGATAGGAGACATCCAAGAACCCAGGTTTGACTGTATTATGGTGACCCACAAATGTATTTTTTTAATTAAAGTTAAGTTTATTTCTGAGGAGAAGAAATAAACTGCAGTGAACGAAGGATCTGGAACAGATATATTTGTTTCTCGGTAGTCTTATTTTGCATAGTTCATTTGGTTCTATTTCTTGGAAGTTGCTCACAGGAAGGATTATGTTTAACTATAGTGAGACTTCCTAGTTTGCTGGAACACATCTGGAACAGATATGTTTGTTTCTCAGTAGTCTTATTTTACATAGTTCATTTGGTTCCATTTCTTGGAAGTTACAGGAAAGGTTATGTTAACTATAGTGAGACTTCCTAGTTTGCTGGAGCACCTTCTAAAACGAAGTGTATAATGTCTTCCCCGTTCTATGGGAGGAAAGTTCTAAGGCTGTTTGTGCCCTAGGGCAGGTCACTCCTTTTCTCCTCTGAGATCCCGCCTCTGGAAGGAAGTTGAAAACGCCTTCATCCAGTTTTGCACATGTCTTTCTGAAAATTTATTTTAAGATTTGACAAATGACCAATGTTCAGAAACCTATAATTATCCCATTTTCACCATCTTCAAGCTAAAATTCCTTAATGTTATTGGCAGGTTGCTATGGTTTCAGTAATATACTAGTATGAAGTTATCTTTTTAGAAAATTGTCTCCTACGTCAAATTGATTAGTGGTTCCTAAGACAAAACCAAGCCAGCCACTTATTTGTGGTTAAGTTAGATGAGGTGAACATGAGATGAAATTACTTGGTTTGAAAACAGGTATGGAAATGGGAATAATATTTGCCCTTCCAAGGTTCTGAAAGTTAAAAACTTGTGAGGTCTTTTCCTTGTCCAGTTTACTGGGGATAAGTTTGCTTTTGGTAAATTTTCACAGATTTATTATTAACAACTAAATTATTATTTATCTGAGTAAATTAGGAAAAACAGCCAGCTGAGAGGTTCTGCAATTTAATTTGGTGGCATTTAATTTTGAGTGTTTCATATACTTAGGTAACTGAAAATGATATGAAAAATGTAGCTTGAGTATATTTAGGTAATTTGAAATAATTATGTCTTTTATGAAGTTTTAATTTTCTGTGGAAGAGTTGATTTTTTAAAAATTGATACTTAGTTGCAGTCTTAGGGCTGTACATTTTATTTAGATTACACCAAGTATAGGCACTTTTGGAAAAGGATTGTGTATGCATGTGTATGTCCTTTTAAACCCTTGGATAAATGTGAGCTATAGCCACAAATGATAACTAACGAGATTATTGGCTTTTGCTGGATCTGAAACAAAACCCTGGCATTTAACAAAATAGATGCTACAATTGGATAGTGCTACTGTGTTTTATTGTGGGAAATTTCAAATATATTTAGAAGAGAGAATAGCTTAAACACCATTGTACCCATTTACCAACATCAACAACTGTTCACTCCCCCTTTTTCCTCTCATGGATTATTTTGAAGTAAATCACAGATATTTCATTCACTTCAGACTATCTGTAGAAGATAATGACTCTCTTTAAAAGATACATACATATGTACTTTAAAATTTTAATGATATATATGCCATACTACCATTATCACATAGCAGTGCCTCTTGAATGCTGTTATTTCATAGCTTGGATCTCCAGCTTTGTAATAGTGGTCTTATATATTTCTCATAGGCAGGGTTCCCCTGTTTGTAGAAAGAAGTGCATTATTAAGACAGAATATTTCTGCCAGGATTAATAACTTTTACTTTCAAATTAAGTTTTTAGTTTCAAAATTAACATTACATAAGATTTTTTATTTTAAAAATTATTTTTAAAATTCATTTTGTATGAACATATGGAGAAACATTTTTTCCAAAGGGCATCCTTCGTTTTCTCCAGCAGATTTTAAATTGTGGATGCAGGTGGCCAATTAAAAAACACAGTTATCATTTGCTTTTGGAATTTAATACAAATAAAAGGCTCAACTCTTTGAGGCCCTTTGATATTGAACATTAACCATAAACCAAGGAGTCAGAAGGTGGAATCAGGTAAGCAATAGTCTGTGCCACAATAGGTTATCCCCATTGTTTTGTAATGTCTTGATTCTTTCCTTCACAGCTCTATTCTCATCTTTTGCAACATTTACTTTTTTATTTTTTGGCTGTCGAGGCTAAAACTGTAAGCTCCTTGAATGACTCTTGCTCTGCACTGTATCCTTAGTACCTTATAGCATATGCTCAATACATATGTTGAATGATTGAATGAATCGGTGTGTTTAAGGTATCTAGCAACTAATTGGACAAACTTTTACAATAGAGTAATTGGGGGAAATAGGATTCTTATTTTGAGACTATCCCAATGTTTCCTCCACTGCTTGCATCTATAGGGAATTACTTTGATTTGAGTTCATGTAAGGAGGGGCAACAGCCTTTTGCTGTTCATTTTGGAAAAACTGGATTGAAATAGCATCCAGATTAGGAAAAAAGCCAAAAAACAGACACCATGATTTGAGTAAACCGCGGGAGAGCACATCATCCAGTCTCGGCAAAAAACTCAACACTTACCTGCTCAGACAGAAGAGAGACTGGCTTAGGATTCTAAGACATTTAGCTTAGCATAGCACCTTTCTTTTGGTAGAAAATGTCAGGGAAATATATTCCCATTTGTACTTTTGTGTCTACAAGGCTTGTTTTAACATAGCTGTTGTTTTAATTTATTTGAAACACATACCTGTAGTGTACCTTTTTCTTCTATTGCAAATGAAAAATGTCTATTACAGTTTCAAAATTATCTACAGCAGATTAAAAAAAATACACTTTAAAAGTGCCATTTGGAGGTCTCTACAGGAGCCAGAAATGTAAGGTTATGTGGCTGGCTATATATTGGCAGTCAAACTGCCTATCATTTTAACTAATTTGAACCAGTTCTCCAAGGTCCTTTATAATCTCAGTTCCTAAATTATTTGCTGGACCTGTCACTTTTTTAGCAAGGTAATGGAAGCTAGGATGGCAAGAGTCTGCAGCGTTGTGTATGCAGGAAGTTCCTTTGTCTCACTGTGTAGGTCATAAAACCATGTTTGTTTATTCCATGAATGCAAAGTGTCTACTCTGATAGACCCTGGAGTTAGGAAGGTGAATGCTCTGTCCTTGTTCACAATGAAGTGGCAGGCAAGGGAAAAGTGAAAAGCGAATGGGATGAATTGTATCAAAATTTTATCAAATCTGTTGCTGTGGGTCAGTCATGCCCCTCATTTAGATAAGCCTGCTCTCATATAATATCCAGATTAAATTCTTTTAAAATAAAGATTAGAAACAAAAAACAATAAGGAAGTCCCCTACATGTGATAGTGAAGATGAGGGGTCAGGAGAACTGGCATGTTTCCTTGTGTTGCTAGTAAAACAGGTTTTGAGCTAGGTTATGTCATCATTTCCTGACAGGTGTCCCAGCGGGGTAGGTTTTTCTCTGGAGCATTTATCTTTAGACCACAGGAGCTATTCTGGAGTGGGAAGACTGCTGTAGTTTTATGCCAGGATTTAAATATTAGAAAGTAGAGAGATCTAAGCATTATAAAAAGTAAAACACTAGTATTAGCTTAACTGTACTAAGCAGTGAATGTATCATACCTTCTTTAGTAAGTTGGTTGAATTTCCTTGTTGAGTTAAAAGGATGCCTTCCTAGAGTCAGGGAATGACCAAAATGGATTGGCCTTCTATCACAAACATCTTGGGGGTAACGGTTGTGCTATAACTGTAGATGACCATGTTAAATTAAGCTATGGATATGACAGGACGCAAAATGTTAAGAGCAAGCCTGACACTATGGCAAGTGTGAATGAAAGCCTGAGAGTTGCCAATTTGATGAGGTGTTAAGACACTTTTCCTGACACTTGACCTAAGAGGTGAAGGAGTAGGCTTCACCACCTGAGGAACATATTTGCATAGTAGAGCTTAAAATAATCTGTTGTGTATCTATGGACTTTGTTTTTTATCAAATCTGCTATTAAATATTGGTCCCTCAAATTCTAAATACAGGGTTTTTTTCTTTACTCCAGTTAATGTATTCATTGGTATTCATAACTTTTCCCAGCGAGGCTCAGAGAAGAGTCTGGGACCCTGACCCTCTCTTCTTAGTGACTTAGCGTTCCATATTCTCTCCTAGGGCTGCTTGGGGTCTTTCCTCCATAACCCTTGTAGCTGTCATTTGTATGGCTTCCTGGGCTACTGATGGCAGTGTGGCAGCCTTCTGTGTTCCTGGGATTGTGTTCCTTAAAGTGAAGAGAAAGGAGGCATCTCTAGCAGGCAGTCAGGTCTGAGAGACACCCCCCGTCCCCACAATCTAAGCTTTCTGTCACCTCTGGATACCCACCATTATCAACATAAAACTGAGAGTTTGGAGGTTGAAAATAAGGTGGGGTGTGATTTATTTTATTTTTGTTACTTAAAAGCCCGTTTGCCATTATGTGTGTATGCCCTTGGGTGTGTCAAGCCATGATTTAGAGCTTGGGTCTTCCTCTTAATTCCCTTTATCAAATTCTGAGCAGTGCATTTTGCTGATTACAGTCCAGACTCAGAGTTCCTGGCAAGCCACATCCCTGCTCCTGGTTTCTTTATGTATTCTCAAAATATTTTAAACAGACATGCTATGCCAAGTGATTTGTAACCTAATGGGAATCAATTAAAATGGGAAAACATGGGAGGTGTATTCACTGCTTGTTCTCTGCTCTCTTACACAATTTATAATGTGTTCTGTTCAACTACCTGAGTATTGGTCGGTGACTTCTGAGCCCAATGGAACAGACGTTCATAGACATTTCCATCATAACAGCCAAGTGCTGAATTTAAACACTGATCTGTGAAGTCGAAAGCATCGGTTAACGAGATGGCATCCTTCCTGAGAGGAAAAACACAAGAGTGTGTGAGTATTTTTGACCGCTCTTATGAAGCTGATTAATCTGGGATGGTGAACAACACCACCTCATTAGAGGTTGCATCATCATTCACTTGGGAACAACTCAGCTTTAATTTTTTTCAGGTTTTAATTTTTGATCAGTTATATATGTACAGCATAAAGAATCAATAGTTGTTTAAGGCTTGCTATTTAAAATCAGCATGCCCTTTTCTCTCACCTCCATTTCCTACCCCTCATCCCCACCCCTACCCAGAGGCAATCAATTTCAGTCTTTTCACTGATATTTTTGGGTTTTACCTGAATGTCTTTAAATAAGTTGTTGGTATTTCTACTTCTTGTTTGTTCACTTATAGATATTATCTATTGACTCTCTATTACAACAGATGAGGGTTTTTTTTAGCACCCCTCCTCTTACCCTTACCTATCAGCCCCCCACCCCAACCTATGCTTCCTCCTCTTCACCTTCCTGCCTCCCAGTATAGTTACAGTTTTGGCCAGACTAATATTCAGTGCTTAAATATTATGACTGTACATATCCTATATATTATTATGACTTTATGTATCCTGTTCACAGCTTATGAGCCAGGTCCCTACCGCATCTGTCCTGTAACAGTGACCTACCTCCAGGCTCACTGACCTCTTTCCAACACTGCTGTCATTAATTCTTAGTGATTTCACTGTCTATGTGGATGTTCCTCTACAACTCAGCTCCTGAGTTCCTCGAATCTTCTGCTCCATTGACCTTGTTCTACAGCCTTCCTCTGTCATCTTTGCCAAGATCATACACCAGGACACATCATCAGCATCTGCAGCTTCTCCGTGATCTCAGCCATGTTTCCTTCCCCACCTCCTGTCTTTCTAGCTTATTCCCTCTAGTATTTTGACTTCTATATTCTTTCTTCCCTTTCAAGCAACAAAGTGTGTTTTATTTTAACCTATTGAATGAAATATTTTTTAGAAATGTTCACATCCTTTTCTTTCTTTTTACCAAAGGATGTAAAACATAACGTGTGATTATTTGTTTAAACTCTTCCCTAACTCTTCTTTCACAAAGCATTTGAGGAGACTGGAATACTGGATCTATTTTAGTCCTTTCTGGATGACCCTATATCATCATTAGGAGGTGATTTCATGTAGGGCTGTTTATAATTCTTTGACCCTACTGGCACCTACCACCTATATAACGTGCCTCATCCCCCTGGACTCCTTATCCAGCTGAAACTTCATGGTTTGTTAGGCCACTCCCTCAGAAATATATTCAACAATTTTTCTTGCTTTGCCATACTTGTTTGGCAAAACCCTATCCCTCGTAATCTTTAATTTTCCACTGACTTTGTGCCACCACCTTTGTAGCTATGGCTGGAAAACCAATACTGACTGGGGTAATAAGGGCTCACCGGGCCGTTAGAGTTGCCCAGTAATCCTATTATATTGCTCTAATTCATTTACTCTTTTATTCTCTTATATGATTATTTCACACTTTCTCTTCTATCCTGGAATCTACATTCCCCACCTCACCATCTCTCTTACCTAAATGACTGCTTCCTCTTCCACTGATAAAAGTGGTGAGAGCATTTCCGCAAGTTCCTCCCATGCATTTATATGCACAGTGCCTTTTCTCTTAGTGCAGGTCAGCTGCCTGGGCTCTCACCTCAGGCCAATCCTTCCTTGTCTTAGAGAATAGCGTTCCAGAAGTCGTTCTGCCTTTCCCCTACAACACCAAACTTCCCCTTTCTACTGGATCACTCCCATCCGTGTACAAACATGCTGTCATTTCTCCCACTTTAAACATAAACTTTTGATTCTGTCTCAGTCATCTACCCCATGTCTTGGCTCCCCTTTATGACACTCCTTGAAAGTGCTATGGTTGCTTGTGCTTGCTATTTCCACTTCTCTTTTGCCTGTTCTCTTGGACTAGATTCCTACCACCCCACTGAATACCTCTTGTCAGGGTCACCCCATCATCATCTTTGGAGGAGCCCACCACTCAGTGCTTGGGCCTCTTCGCTTCATATGCTCACTCCTTGTGATACCATCCTTCTCATGGCATTTTGCAAGTGACTTCCAAATTTCTCTCTCCAGTCTCACCTGCTTATTAACATTTTACTTGATTTCTAACAGGCTCTTTAAACTTAACATCTTCAAAAACAAACTCCTGATCTTCTAGACCCTTCTGTTGTCCAGCCTGCCCAAGCCTACCCTCCTATAGTCTCCTCCGTTTATAGTAAATGGCAACTCTGTGCTGGCCAAAAACCTAAACTCCCCTCTGTCTGTTACACCCCATATCTAATCTGTCAGCAAATCCTGCTTTATCTTCAAAATATATCCCAACTTTTACTACTTCCCACCACCTCCAGTGCTATCACCCTGGTCCAGTCTACCACCATCTCTCACCTGGATGATTGCAGCAGCCTCCTAACTGGTTTTCCTGCTTTTCACCCTTGTCCCCCTTCCCCAGTCAATTCTTAATCTGGCAGCTGGAGTGATCCTTTAGAAATATACGGCAGATTACTTCAGAATATGTCTCTCCTATGCTCAAAACCCTCCCGTTCTCAGACAAAGTAAAAGCCAGAGCCTTAAGTCTTTGCAGGGATCCACATCCCTGCCCTTAACTCTCCCACCTCTGCTCTCGTCTCTACCTCAGTCATGCCCCTCTAGCCTCTGTGGCCTCTTCTCTGGTCTCTAGATGGATGTGCCAAGCAGGTTCTGGCCTCCGACCTTTGTACTTACCCTCTGCTTGGAATGCTCTTTTCCCAGCCAACCACATGCCTCCTCTCACCTTCCCCCTTTAGATCATTCCTCAGATGTCATCCTCCCTGGGTCGCCTTTGACCTATTTAAAATTACAGCCACCGCCCCCCATCTCACCCCAGCATTCCTGATCCCCTTTTTCCTGCTATTCATTTCTTCATAGCATTTATCACTATTTTGCATACCATATGTTTGACTTATATGTCTGTTTGTCTTATCTTCTCTAGGCTTTAAGCATCTGTGCCCCTTTTCAATCTGAAACTCATAGCCCTCATTTGAGGAGTGTTTTCTTGAATTACTTTATTAGTGATCTGCTCCCTTCTGTTTTCTCTGTCTCCTCTTTCTCAACCTGTTTTTCAGATGATGGACAGTTAGGATCAGTCCTCTTACTATTTTTATTTTTTCTCTCCTATTTTTTTGTCTTCTTGCTTTCTTTTTGTGAGATTTCTGCAATTTTATCTTTCAGTCGTTCAGTTGGGTTTTTCATTTCCACTCTCATTTTTTAAATTTCATAGAGCTCTTATTTTTGTTCTCTATTACTTTTTAAGAAGTGAAATTCTTATTTTATGGTCACAATATCTCCTCGTAACCCTTTGAAGGTATTACTGATCTTTTAAAGTTTTTTTCTCCCTAAGGATTCTCTTGTGGCTTTCAAGTTGCCTTATTCTTACTTGCTTTGGTCTCTTTCATGTTGGGGCTTACCTCAGGTGTCTGGTGATCCCTGAGTGTCTAATCATAGCTGAGAGTGAGGCATTAACTGGCTGATTAGAAGTCTGGGTGTTCTTGTCAGTGTGGGGTGGCTATGGGGTGAATTGTGTGGACATCAGGGGACCCTGGTGTCAGTGTCTCTCCTTTGGGCTGGTCAGATTCTCCAGGGAGGATCATGTTACCATCTTCCTGCAGGGAACTAGCCTGGCTGACAGTTTTCTGGGAACCATGGGAAAAGAGGGCTGGGGGAGCGGCTCATCAGCTAAACGTTTACTGAAGCCCCTATTTTCTGTGGAGTAGCCTCATCCTTAGCTGTTTACCTGTCTGTTAGGGTGGGGTCAAGGAAACTTAAAACTACTCACAGAGGAGGAGAGGGACTGGGGACTCAGCTCTTTCTGAAATGGACTTTCAGCCCGTCCTGTCAGTCACCTTTACCCCATTGCCAGAGGTACACGGTCCTGCTAGTTCTCGGGATTCTTTGGTGTAACTTGGCTGCTTTTCCCACTTCTAGGGAATGATTCACTTTCCTCAGGTCTACTAAGTCACTGTTTGTTCTTCTACTTCCAATTTTCATGTTTCTTCTCCTGTTTTCTTTCTCTTTGTGGGTTTATACCTTTTTAAAATTTTAACACATTTGCTGATGTTTTAGTGAGGCTTAAGGAGGGAACAAAGTAAATGCATATGTTCAATCTGCCCTCTTTATCTAGAAGTCCCTCAGCTGAGATTTTATGGTCACTTAAACAACTAAAAACTATCTGGGTCAGTTAACTATCATTACACAGAGAGCTGGTTCTTAGTGTCACTTAGAATAATGTACCATCCTTCATTTGTCATCTCAGAAATCTGAGGCAAGACTGAATCATCAAGACTGGGCATTATGACACAGAACTGTTAAAAGCATGGAGTCTGTTACATACCTAATTACCCTGCAGTGGTAGGGAGGTTACTTAGGAACCATAATGTGAGTAAATCAATTTGTGGGTTTGATGCCTGCATCAATTGTCTGTTTGCATCAATGCTGTCTGTTTTGTCTTGAATTGTAAGTTTCTAGAGTCAAGTCAAGCATTTAGAAATGCTGTTACAGCCCTGGCCAGTTTGGCTCAGTGGTTAAAGTGTCGGCCTGTGGAATGAAGGGACTTGGGTTCGATTCTGGCCAAGGGCACGTACCTCAGTGGCAGGCTGGATCCCTGGCCCCAGTTGGGGCTCATGTGGGAGGCAACCAGTCAGTGTGTCTCTCTCACATCGATGTTTCTCTCTCTCTCCTCTCCCTTCCTCCCTCCCTCTCTGAAAAGCAATGGGAAAAATATCCTCGGTGAGGAAAAAAAAAAATGCTGTTGTAGATAAAAATTATGCATATGAGGTGTTAAGGTGATCTTTCTTTTGTGTTTCATCATCACTGCCAATCAGGGCCAGAACATTATTGTCTTCATGTGCTTTTCAGTGCCAAGCTTTTGGAAAGTTAGATAAACGTGGGTTTAAACAGTGCAGCACTCAGTTATGCTATTAATGGTTTCTACCACTGGATCCCCAATTATATTAGGAAAAGTTTAATACCCGAGGCATAATTGAATCAAATATACTTTTTATAGTTTAATTGAACATTTACTGACCATCAACTCTCTGTGAGGTGCTTATGTGGAGTCGTAAATGGTATGCAACATGTTGCATATTGTTAAAAATAAAATAATTTGGTCTAGTTTTTTCTTTTAACCTCCATCATGAATATATTATTATTTTTTAAATTTCAAAAATCTTTTTTTTAAATTCTCTTAGTCTTGTTGATAATGTGAACTCTTGGTGGTTCTAGGGGGAAAAGTCACACACCCATATGTATCACCCCTCCTCCCCACAATACAGCAGGCATCGTATTTCCTTAAAAAGGTTGTGTTCTCAAGTTAGCCCATTTTTCATGTTATGGACAGTGGTGACTAATTTGTATTGTTTCAATTTCTGTTTCTTCTAGTACCCTGGTTAGGTTGGGCTTTGGTTTTGATACATTTTTATTTATTAAAAATTTTATTTATTGATTGATTTTAGAGAGAGAGGAAGGGGAGAGGAGAGAGAAAGAGAAACATCAATTTGTTGTTCCATTTATTTATGCATTCATTGGTTGCTCCTTGAATGTGTCCTGATTGGGGATCGAACCCACAACTTTGGAGTATCAGGACGATGCTCTAACCAGCGGAACCACCCAGCCAGGGTGGTTTTGATATGCTTTTAAATCAGTGCATAAGTATGTCATGACCCAAACTGCACTGTATTAATGTTGCATTTAAAAACTATTTGTAATTTTGTTTTACAAATCAGTATATGATTACTAGGTTTAAAAAAATTTTCATCCTGAAGCTAAGGGAGGATTAAAGTAAGTTTAGTCAACTTAGTAAGAGTTTGCTTAAGCACATTGAACAAAGACAAGGATATATACTTTGAAATAAACAATAGCCCAACCTTATCCTTAACATATAGTTTAAGAGCTCATGCTCTGGGGTTAGACAGGCCCCAGATTGTACCTGGCTCCTCCTCTGGCTAATTGTGTCACTTTGGGCAAAGTACTTAACTCTACTAAGCCTGGATTTCCTCCCCAGTAAAATAGGGAGATTAATAGTATCCACTTCAAAGGCTGTAAGGATTCAATGAAGTGATGTGTGTAAAAGCTTTTGACATAAGTGCTTCTTAAATATTAGCTATGATTAGGACTCATTATTATTAATACGTATTATTCATATGCAGTAGGCTTCATTTTACTTGTATTACTTAGATACTATTCCTATTTCCTTGACAGTGTTCAAGAGTTCAATGGAGGTAGTTAGGTAATTTATTCTTAGGTATTTTTATTTCTGTTTTCCATTTTTTAATCAGTCCACAATGCTTTATGTTGGTGTAATAATGCTCGGGTGTAAACCTCTCCAGGGCTGTTGCTGGTTTGCCAGACTCCATTTAGCAAGGTTTTAGAGCTGAAAATTTTGGAGTGTGAGGTGAACAAAGGGTCTAGGGATATTTTCTGAAGACACCCACAGTTTGAGGGTCAGCCACTCACCGAATGAGGAGAAGCAGGTCCAGGTAGGCTGTTCTCACCACATCTACTTGGGCCCCAGACAGGAAGCCATCATGGAGAAAGTCACCTGCATTAGACAGGATGCCATGCAAGGCAAAGAGATCACAGAGGCGTTGGAGTGCCTGCTGAATGGCTGGTTCATTGTCCAGTTTCTTCAGAGCTTCTGCAAAGCTCTTCACAGTGAGGTAGTAGCAGTGTGCCTACGAAGACACAAAGGTGCATTAGCCTCTCTTTTCTGATTTCTGGCTCCAGAAGTCATCCTGGAACTCGGCGAGCCTGCTGGAATGAGCCTGCTGCGACCATGTGTTTCCCAGCAGGCTGACAAGTGACTGCCTTTTCTCCTAGCTCACTATGGGTTTTATTGAGCCCTTTTGACAGTGTGTGGGTGCACATTTGTATGTTGGGGGCTGGTGGGCTCTGGAACTTGGCCCTTAGTTTTCTCATTTTGGTTGGGGAAATTTCAAGTAGGTTTGAAAGTAGAAAAGATACAAGAGAATTGGAGCTGGCCTGGGGATAGTGGAGGACACCACCACTTTTCTTAAGAAACATTTATTATCTGCCATGTTCTAGGCAGTGGAGTGTGTGTGCGCAAGCACTTGTGTGCATGTGTGTGCCTGGGGTGAGAAAGGAGGAGTTCAAGATATACATGGAATTTATCCCAGCGAGAAAGTAAACTCCTTGAGGTAAGCAGCCGTAATTTAGCCCATATGCAACTACTGGCTCTGTTAGTAGTTAAAATAACCAGTTGGTAAGTTACCACTGACCTCAACCAGGCGAGAGTCCCCCATGCCAACCAGGCTCCTCTGGGACCCCTTCTTTCCCACAGCCCAGCAACTAAAGCATTAATGCCCGACCCAGCAGGAGGCTCTCAGGACTCTGCTTTCCTTAGGACTGAAATCCTTTTTGATTGGTTGGTGCCTCTGCCCTACTCTTCCCAAGACAAACACACATATTATTTTTAACTGGTAGGATGTATGAGTTCCATGGGAGAAGAACAGAAAGGAGAGCATGTAAAACAGGTCTCAAATGTTTATGTGCATACAGATTACCTGGGGATCTTGTAAAAAATGCAGATTCCAGGATAGGGAATCTTTACATCCTAACAATGTAAAGATTGTTAGTGCTTATGCTGCTGGTAGTGACTTTTAGTAGCAGGCTTAGAGCGTCCTGGCAAGGAGTGGGTCATTCCAGGCTGGGGGAACTTCATGTGAAAAGCGCTGTCCTTTCAGGAGGCAGCAGTTTAACGAGACTGAGCACTGGGGTATAATGTGATGAGAGGCACCCAGGTAATGAAGGGCTGTGAATGACACGTTGGAATTTTGTTCTGTGGGGGTCCAGCAGTCATTAAAGTTTTCAACAGGCCAGAGATCTAATCAGGTTTTTCACTTGGAAAGAAACTGCCTTTCCCAGAGAGGCTTAACATGGGTGCTAATGACACCGGTTTTCCACTTAGACCTGTGCTCACAGCCATGCTGGGTTTGCAGCCTTTGGATGTGGAAGAGCAGCAGGTGTGCTCTGCCTCCCCTGCTGGGTCCAACAGCCCTTGCTGCTCAAACTGGGCCCAGTTTGGCAAAACAGGAGACTTTTTTCACCTAGCCTGCTTCCCTGCTCTAAACTGAGTGCCATATCCTTAAATCCTCAGGGCCTTGGGTTGAGGAATGGAGTGATGATGAGCTGCCTGAGGGTCTGGGCCTCTCCCTTGGAAAGCAGGACTAGGACCAGAGAGAGAAGGTGCCCTCCACACTTAGGTGAAGGGCTGAGTTAAACCATGGCATCATGCTTTGGACACAATTATACTTTGTTTACTTTGGTGCAAGTTGATTTAAATCTTGCCTCCTGGGTAATTTGGGGGTGGGGTAGATGTATAGTATTTATATACTAGGTACCTCTCTAAATTTTACATGCATTAACTCATTTAATCTTCATAATAATCTTACAAGGTAGGTACTATTATTAGCTCCATTATGTGAATGAGGAGACTGAAACCTGGAGAGAGATGTTCCTTGCCCAGGGTCACATGGCTGGTAAGTGGTAGCAACGAGATCCAAACCGGGGCATTCACCTCCCAGTTAAGAATTTGTACTCTTGTTAAAAATAATTAATTTTCTAATTACAGTTGACATACAACATTATATAAGTTTCAGGTGTACAACATAGTGATCAGACATTTATATACCTTACAAAATGATACCCCAATAAGTCTAGTACCAGTTGGACACCACGCATAGTTATTAAAATATTACTGACTACATTCCCTATGCTGTACTTCTCATTTTCACGTAGTCTGAGCTCTTAACTGCTGCCCTCTGTTGCCAAAGCCGCCAGAGACTGAGGCTGGATTATAATGAGTGCCAGCATTTGCTCCAGGGCTCCTAGGGACTAACATCTCTCCTAGGCAGGGGCTAAGATGATAGGATCAGAGCCCATCAGGCCTAAAGGGCTCTTCCATGCCTCCTTGTTACACAGGCAGGAAGGTGAAAGCCCAGAGAGGGAAGGGCTGCCTGAGGTCACACAAGCTCCAGGCCTTAGGCCAGGGCTCACTCTGCTTTCTTCTCTGCCTCTCTGCCATTGTTCCCTGCTTCTCTTGTGTTGTGGTCTCTCTCTACCTGCACATTTATGGTTTCCAGATGGTGCCTGGTTGGGAGCTTGAGGTTTCTGTAGAGTAGATGGCCTCCCAAAGCACAAAGTCTAGAAAGTGCAGATTTTCCTGTCCATTATGACTTTGGAAGCTTTGGGCATCACCGCCCCAGGAAGCCCAGGGACTTGCTCTTCGCCCCTGGACTGTCTGAGCTGCTCACCCATGGCGCCCCCCAGAGCTTGGGGCTCACCTCCCTCACTAATGCGCAGTGGCTCCCTGCAGACATGACTTAAATCCCTGGAGGAAAAGGAAAGGAAAGCATCTTAACTCAGCCATTTCCTACCTCTGGACTAACTCCCCGAGCTCTATGTCTGCATCCTTAAAACAGATTATGCTACTCTCCTTCCCAGGGTTGTGTGTATTAAATGGGGTAACCCTGGCTAACAGTGTCCTGTCCATCTGAAGGTAGGACATAGGTTTGGAAAACGGATTAATGATGGGTGGCTGTGGTTCCCCTTTTGGTAGTCTGGTGAGAGTTCAGCCTTGGCTCACCCTCCTCTTTGTTGATAGGATATTTAGCACCTTGAGCAGAACCAAGGGCGGCTCAGTTAATACCCGCATCTGCCAATGTGATGGAGGTGGTTGGTCACCAGGTGGCGCTCATGTCGAGCCTGCCTGACCATCCCTGCCTCCTGACAGCCTCTGCAAACTCCTTCAGGGCTCTCCTGTTTAAAGGCTGCTGTTTTCTGGGCCTGGTGCCTGGTGATTGAAATGATCCCTTTGATTTTACAGCTGCCTAAGCTGGGGCTCATTTTAATTTTTTTAGCCCCTTAATATCTCTGCATCTACCCACTTCTCTCCATGTCCTCTGCCAAATTCATGGTCAGGACCACCCTCAGCCCTCACCCAGACAGCTACCACCTGCTTCTAACTGGACTCTAGCCTTCAGTTCATCCCTTCTCCTGCTGCCTGAATGATCATTCTAGAATGAAACTGATCAGTTCACTCCCCCCGCCATACAAATTGCAAAATCTTCCCATTGCAAAGAAAACAACCCAAACTTCTCACAGCGGTGCAGAAGGTTCCAGGACTTGCCTATCTTTCCTCGTTCCCCCTTTCTGCCTCTCCTCATCTCAGTCATCTTCCTTTAGCTCCTCCTTGGGAGAACTTGCATTCCCCCCGAGCACCACACCTTGTCTTGCCTCCTCTTGCAGCTGTTGTTCCTTTTTCCCGGAAACCTTCCTCTCCAAAGCCACAGCCTCTACTCTTTTTGCCTGGCTGATTACAGTTCATCCTTGAAGTTTTGGCCTAGATGCCTCTTCTGGGAAGCCTTTCTGACTCCGCAGGGTGGGTAGAGATGCACCTGCCCCGTCCTGCCCTGTGTCAGCCTGCATTTCCCCATCACAGCCCTTCCTTGACTGCTGCTGCGATTGGGCTGTTGAGCCCCCAGGACCCAGCCTGATGCCTAGTGTTCGGTGGGTGCTCAAATATTTGCCGACTGGCTGTGAATTATGCACAAACACAAAACATAATGGAAATTCAATCAGACTTCTAAGGATTGCCTGTGGGACTAACGGGGAGACTTGACCTGCTTTGCTATCTGGGAAGAAATACTTGAACAACCTGAAGCAACTCCAATAACACTGCCTCATTACATTTTTCCTAAGAGCCGCCAGCAAGATTGCTTTGGAGTTAAATCCTTTAATTAAAATGGACTAAAGTCTTGGAAGTGAAATGAGGGCAGCTGCTGAGCAGGGCTGGGGAATAAGGGCAGAGCTCAGATTTTCCCAGCAGGCAAGCCTGTTGGGGAAAAAAACGGGTCCCTTTCAGCTTCAGCTGACAGGCAGCTCACCTTAGCAGCCTGGAGGTGGATGACAGTGGTCTGGTTCCATGCCTCATGCTTGTCAGCCCCAGACTGCAGCAGAGTCTGTAAATGGTGCACTGAGTCCTTTATGAGCCTGAAGGCCAAAGAAAAAAAGTTCAGCTTCTTGACTGAGTGGGAAAGAGACTGGTGTTGTTTGGTCCCTCAGAAGTAGAAATAATTCCCAGTTATTAACCACTTACATGTTACAAAGCTAAATGTTTGATATACATGACCTCTTTAACTCTTCTAAGGGTAGTCATTCCCAGTTTACAGTGGGGAAAACTGAGTCCCAGGAGAGGTTAACTGACTGGCCCAGGGTTACATAGCTGGTAAGAAATGGAGTTGTTCACAACCTTGGAGCTGTAAGACCCCATCCAACGTCTTCAGGCCGTTCTGTTGACTGACTTCCTGTGGCTGAGCCAAGAGAATGGTTCTTCTCTAAAGACTAATGAGGCCTGTAAGTCACCTCACCTGCTCCGCGTTCTAGCTAAGTGACCTTAAAAGAAAACTAACCCTTGTCCTCCAAACCACTAAATTGGTCATTTGCCATTTGCTTAACCTTTATTCTTTTATTTTCTATTCCCTGTTCATCTACTTATGACCCTTAGACTTTGTAGGCAAAGCAAACTGTTTATTAAGCAATATTTATTTTACTTTTTCAGGGAATAGGTAAGCAGATGTCCCATTGAGTTCCAAGCAAAAAGCAATATAAAGGCACTTAATTACCTTAATTACCCTAAGCACCCTTATTTTGCCCTCTCCACTTCCCCCAACTAAAATGTTAGCTCTGTGAGGCCTAGGCTGTTTATCAGACTGGTTTAGTGATAAGTCTTTAGTGCCAAGAACAGTGCCTGGCATATTGTAGGCACTTAATAAACACTTGTGGAATAAATAATGTCCCAAGTTGCTTGTGACCTTGAGATAACTACTAACCACCCCTGGACCACAGGTTGGGGTAACTCTTACTATATACTGAAAATATGTTTTCCAGGTTGTTTTGGTGTTCTAGTTGGGGAGGGGTTCAGAAGGTTTCCTTTTTAGGTACTTAAATCTCTCTGTCTTTTCCTGATGGTGTATGTGCTTGGCCAGGACCTCTCTGGCACACAGTAGGTGCCTGACAGTATTTGCTGAGTGACAGACTGAGTGCTTTGTCTTATCCTGTTCCCTGGGGCCTACTAAACCCTGGAAATAAACTAATTCTATCCCTTGATATAGTCATCTTTTTGAGAATTTTTAGATTGTGGGATATTTCAAATATACGAGTTTTGCTTTATTTATTGGTATTTACATACTGATCTATTTGTGGTATTCACATGTGGGTATATTCTTTGTGTTGCAAATCAACAAGAACCTAAAGGTTTAAAAATACCCTTACATTGGCCAGAGAGGTGATGGCCTTCTACCAGCCTGACCAGAATGGGGAAAGGATGGTGGTCCGTGGCTGAGGGGTGTGACTTCCCCTTCTCTCTGCCCATGGTGGCAAGAGCTGAGAGGGCGGGGGAGGTTGGGGAAGGGGGTGGATTTCTGGAAGAGTATACAGTCTCAAAAGCCCTAGTATGGGAAGGAGCCTGCCCCCAAGTGGGATGGCTGATTTTTCAGCTATGGCTCACCTGATTGCCACATGTGCCCACGCCCTGGTATAGACATCTGGGTGAAGGAAGTCAGCTGCCCTCTGGGCTGGACACCTGGCCAGGTCAGGTGCAGTCAGGTATGCAACAGACTGAGGGAGAGACCTCTTCGATGCGGAGCCAGGGGACGCCTGAGCCTGCAGGTAGCTCTTCATTAAAAACCTAGTGGATGGGGGTGGAGGCACATGAGACGGTGGGGAGCATTGTGGGACAGCCCAGCACCCCTCTCTCCCAGAGACATGCACTCTTATGTCCCCTATGGGAGAACCAGGGCCACCCAGATTCTTGCCCAGTCCCCCCTGATGGTTACTTTTCACTCCAAAGCACCCCCATCCCACCCCCAGCCAGCCTGCTGTGAGGCCCTCAGGGAGGTATGCACCAAGGCTCTAGTTTCACAGGGAAACGGGCCTGGAGCTATGGAGCTGCGTAGACCTTGCAGACCTTGAACATAAACCCTTTTGATATCTGAGCAAACAGAATCCTTTCTTTTGGTTAAGATCTTGAGGTTTGGGAATTTGTGATGAATTGTACAGTGACTGAGGAAATAAAATTTTTCATAGCTGAATAAAGAAGGATATATATATGTATAAGAATGCTGATAGGAATGGGAAGATTACAGGTGACTCTTAGCTCTTCCTGATGATAATGCAGCCATTACAGGCTCTGGGCTAAGACCACCTTGATTCCCTGCAGCTCTACTGAGACCTAGGTGATGCTGTAGAAGTTACTTCACCTCCCTCAGCCTCAGCGTGTCCATCTCTAGGTGAGGTTAATAATACTTGGCTGAAAGTGCCTGGCACAGTGTGGGGCACAGAATTCTAGTACATGATGTCATACTCTTTTTGTAATTTTGGAAAGCCCCCAATAAATAGTACATATTTTAAAAAATCCCAAGAAATGTTATATAGAATATTTGCCAATAAACCCTTCCTGCATGGAGAAGTACTTGCCCTGTTTGGTCACCTGAGAATAGATGAACCTGAAAAGGCCTTGTCAGCCAAGAGACCTGAAACCCCCTAGATTGAGAGAGATGGAAAGACACCTCCTGCTGGGAGGAGGTCAACTCAGCCACTCCTTCCTGCTTCTCCGTATGGAGTCTCCTGTGTACAGGCCCTGTGCTAAGCTTGGGGAAAAGCTCCTGGTCACAAGCAGAGACACTTTCAGATTGTGATAACTGCTCCAAGGAGACAGGACAGTGTTGAAGGGTTGGGTTGGGGGGAGATGTAGAGGTCAGGGAGGACTCTCAGGGAGGCGGCCTTTTAGCTGAGACCTGGAGGATGAGAGGGAGCCAGCCGTACAATAAACTGGGGGCAGAGAGTTTTAGGGGGAGGAGGAGTGCTAAGGCCCTGTGGTGGGAAGCAGAAATGTATGGCTGGCAGAGTGAGCAGAGGCAGAAGGCTGCAAGAGCTGGATGGAGAGTGGGGCAGGGGCCAGATCATAGACCTTGGAGGCTGAAGTGTGGAGTGAGGCATTTTCCTGTGAGCTGTGGGAAGCCATTGAAGAATTTTAAGCAAGGGAAAGATGTGATCTTCTCTAGGCTTTGAAAAGATGCCTCTGGCTGCCTGTGGAAAAAGGACTGAAGTGGGTGGAAGCATCAGTGGGGAGATTGATGCTGTTGTCCAGGTGACGGGACAGGGCCCTCTGGGAGCTGCAGTGAGTCTGGGGAGAAGTGGATGGTTTGGAGACATATTGTGGGAGTTGGACAGTCCCCAAATGGCACTCCCCAAAGTCTGCTCCCAATGTGGACATCATATAGCTGCTTCAAGCCAACCAGCAGCGCCCAGGGGCCAGGCAGAGGAGGCCCTGCCAGCCTCAGCCTTACCTGGCTGTCTGCAGGTAGAGCACGGTGTTCTCACCCTCATAGGTACAGGAGGCTGTCACCCTGGCGACCAGAAATGGCAGGCCGCTCAGCTTTGAGTAGCCGTGTCCGCCGCAGGCCCTGCGACATAGCTCGACTCCCTGGGTGGAGAAGTCTGATACCATGGCCTTTAGACCTGAGCTCAGTGCATGAAGCTGCAAGAACCGGAGAGGGGCAGGTGATGGAAGGGGGTCCTCCACTTAGCACCATGCTTACCACTCAGTGAGCACCTGCTGTATACTGAGGCAAGAATTGTTTCCTCCATTCACAACTCTATGAATGAGAAGGTGGAGATTCAGGGAAATTATGTGACTTGCAGAGGGTCACAGAATGAGGCAGTGTTGCTGTGAGAACAATAAGAACAAAGGAAAGCCCTGCAGGCCAGGGTCTCCAGGGTCTGCAGGGTCTTGGAGAAAGGTGCTTCTGGAGGGGCTCACCGTCATCCAGGAGTTACGGACTTCGCTGGCAAGCAGAGGTTTTGGAGAGCTGGCCTGTGAGGATGGAAGTCCACCAAGAACCTACTGTCCTGGGTTGTAGAATGGGCTGCCAGGTACTGACCTGGCTTGAGTTTTTGGTTCTTGAAAGCTCCTAACCATCTTTTTTTTTTTTTTTTAAATTTAAAATATCTTTATTGATTTCAGAGAGGAAGGGAGAGAGAAAGAGTTGAAACATCAAGGATGAGAGAGAGTTGTCATTGATTGGCTGCCTCCTGCACGCCCCTGACAGGGGATTGAGCCCGGAACTCGGGCATGTGCCCTGACTGGGAATTGAATCTTGATCTCCTGGATCCTAGGTCGATGCTCAACAGCTGAGCCATGCCTGTCCGGGCCCCTAACCATCTTAAGACTTTCAAGCCCTGGGAGGAAGTTTGTATCTCTTAACCTCCCTGCACTTCAATTTCCTTACCTGTAGATTGGATATGAACGGTGCCTGCTATGCAGTTAAGAATCAATGAAGCGATGCTTATAAAGCACAGGGCCTGCCCAGCTGGCATGGCTCTGGTTGAGTGTCTACCCCTGAACCAGGAGGTCATGGTTCAATTCCTGGTCAGGGCACATGCTTGGGTTGTGGGCTCAATCCCCAGTAGGGGGCGTGGAGGAGGCAGCCATCGCTGATTCATCATTGATGTTTCTATCTCTCTTTCCCTTCCTCTCTCTGAAATCAATAAAAACATGAAAGAAAAACACAAAAATTAGGGGCCTGCACAGACTGAACCTCAGTGTACACACAAGGGTACACACAAGTTCACAGAGCTTTATCCAAGACCCTGTGTCTTAGAATCAGAATAATTTTTTTAATTTTAGAAAGGTAAAGCAGACCACTTAAGGCTGATTATATGTAACACTCCTAAGAGGAGTCTGGGCAACCTTAGTGATCACACATGTTAACATTTCTGCTGCGAAAGCTATCACACTCAGTGGGATAAATCAGGTTAGTTCAGGTCCAACATGTCACCAAATGAGTTCTAAACTCTTAGTTTTCAGAGCTTTTTTGGTTTTAAATATGCATCAGAGATTGCACATCTGCGTTCTGTATACTATGTGTGATTGTTTCCTCTAACATTTTTGGAGCTTTTTGGAGCTCATACGGGGGTGGGTTTCTATGTCGGGGTAGTTCCCCCTGGGTGCAATGGGATGTTGGAAGGCTGGGGAAGGAGAAAGTGGAAGAAGCCCATGGGAGGGAGACCCAGCAGAACAGTTTCAGCCGCCCTCCGGCTCCTGCCCACAGCAGACAGCAGGTACCTCGGGCAGGAGGCTGAAGTCTCTGTCCAGAATGGCACTGTAGGACTGATGGAAGAACTCCAGGAGGCTGCTCGCCAGGAAGTAGAATGCATAGGCCGTGGCCAGCTGAGGAAACAGCTTCTGCTGCTGTGTCTGGTAGTCCAAGACTTTTGCCTCCCCATCGCTGGGGGCAAGAAGAGTGGAAGGGTTAGAAGCTGTTCACCTTCCCAGAGTCCCAAGGCCATAAAACCTAAAAACAGGCAGTTTTCATGTCTCACTACAAAACTTGACCCAAAGGACTTGAGGCCAGTAATAANTCAAGGATGAGAGAGAGTTGTCATTGATTGGCTGCCTCCTGCACGCCCCTGACAGGGGATTGAGCCCGGAACTCGGGCATGTGCCCTGACTGGGAATTGAATCTTGATCTCCTGGATCCTAGGTCGATGCTCAACAGCTGAGCCATGCCTGTCCGGGCCCCTAACCATCTTAAGACTTTCAAGCCCTGGGAGGAAGTTTGTATCTCTTAACCTCCCTGCACTTCAATTTCCTTACCTGTAGATTGGATATGAACGGTGCCTGCTATGCAGTTAAGAATCAATGAAGCGATGCTTATAAAGCACAGGGCCTGCCCAGCTGGCATGGCTCTGGTTGAGTGTCTACCCCTGAACCAGGAGGTCATGGTTCAATTCCTGGTCAGGGCACATGCTTGGGTTGTGGGCTCAATCCCCAGTAGGGGGCGTGGAGGAGGCAGCCATCGCTGATTCATCATTGATGTTTCTATCTCTCTTTCCCTTCCTCTCTCTGAAATCAATAAAAACATGAAAGAAAAACACAAAAATTAGGGGCCTGCACAGACTGAACCTCAGTGTACACACAAGGGTACACACAAGTTCACAGAGCTTTATCCAAGACCCTGTGTCTTAGAATCAGAATAATTTTTTTAATTTTAGAAAGGTAAAGCAGACCACTTAAGGCTGATTATATGTAACACTCCTAAGAGGAGTCTGGGCAACCTTAGTGATCACACATGTTAACATTTCTGCTGCGAAAGCTATCACACTCAGTGGGATAAATCAGGTTAGTTCAGGTCCAACATGTCACCAAATGAGTTCTAAACTCTTAGTTTTCAGAGCTTTTTTGGTTTTAAATATGCATCAGAGATTGCACATCTGCGTTCTGTATACTATGTGTGATTGTTTCCTCTAACATTTTTGGAGCTTTTTGGAGCTCATACGGGGGTGGGTTTCTATGTCGGGGTAGTTCCCCCTGGGTGCAATGGGATGTTGGAAGGCTGGGGAAGGAGAAAGTGGAAGAAGCCCATGGGAGGGAGACCCAGCAGAACAGTTTCAGCCGCCCTCCGGCTCCTGCCCACAGCAGACAGCAGGTACCTCGGGCAGGAGGCTGAAGTCTCTGTCCAGAATGGCACTGTAGGACTGATGGAAGAACTCCAGGAGGCTGCTCGCCAGGAAGTAGAATGCATAGGCCGTGGCCAGCTGAGGAAACAGCTTCTGCTGCTGTGTCTGGTAGTCCAAGACTTTTGCCTCCCCATCGCTGGGGGCAAGAAGAGTGGAAGGGTTAGAAGCTGTTCACCTTCCCAGAGTCCCAAGGCCATAAAACCTAAAAACAGGCAGTTTTCATGTCTCACTACAAAACTTGACCCAAAGGACTTGAGGCCAGTAATAATCTTTTAAAATTCCACCTAACATGAATAACCACTCTTATTATTGCAGAAATACTGACATTTGCTTATGGGTGCTGCCCCCTAGTGGGTGGGGTTTACAAAAATCACAGCACATCCTGCTGAAATCTGGGAAGTTCTGAATTCTAACACACGTGGTCCTAAGGGTTTTGGGTGAGGGCTGTGGCCCTGTATACCTGATGATTTGAACCTTGACCTTTCACTACCCTGGTGCACTTGCTGGGTGTGGGAAGTACGTTGCCCCTAATCACTAACAGGATGTAAACTCAGGCCTGGTGGGGTCCCAAGGTGGGCATTGTATCTGCCTTGTTCATTGCTGCGTCCTTGCCCTGAGACTGTGTCCAGCATGTGTGGCTATTCCTGCAGTAGCTGTCTGTGGACTGGAAGAAGGCGTGACAGTGAGAAGCCTCCCATGGTTGATGGGGGGAAACCTGGAGTCTCTTCTTTAGGCCAGTAGCCCCTCACCTGGACATGTATATTATAACCATCCTGGGACACTTCTGCAACCTAGAAAACTGGGCTCCAGACAGGACATCATCAGCACTCCTTTCCAGTGTCCCTGTTCTCCCAAGCAGACACCTTCAGCCCAGCATTCTGAGGCCCAGAGGAAAGGACCCCGGGCCAAGGGCCGGGCATGCTTTATTGCATTTCATCCTCAACACCACACTGAAAGACCATTGCTGTAATGCCCCCACTTTGTAGATGAGGAAGCTGAGGGACAAAGAGGTGGGACAGCTAGCCATGCTCCTGCAACTACCAGGTGGCCAAGCTGAGTGTGGCCCTCAGGTCTGCCTGGCATCTGACCCTCAGTCCATTCTGCATTGGACTCCTGGATCCTTGAGCTGATGGCATGAAACACCACCAGACTCCTGGACTGGATGCCCCAAGGTCCAGTCCTGATTATGTCACTCTGCACTCTACAAGTGGGAAAGCTGAGACCCAGAGAGGGCAAAGGACTTTGAGCAGAGTTGGGACAGGAGCTGCCAGGTTGAAGTCTGTCCCTCAGCACCACAAGTTCAGTCAGTTCTGCTGTGCCCAGCTCTGTCCTCTGTGCCCAGCTCTGCCCTCTGCCCAGCTCTGTCCTCTGTGCCCAGCTCTGCCCAGCTCTGTCCTCTGTGCCCAGCTCTGCCCTCTTCCCAGTTCTGGCCTCTGTGCCCAGCTCTGCCCTCTGCCCAGCTGTAGCCTCTCTTCCTGTGCTCAACCTGTGACACCACATGCCTAGGCTGCATTTTGCTGCATCCTGGGTGTGTCCATTTGGGACATATTCTGAAAAATGATTTGTTGTTTATCTGAAATTTAAATGTAACTGATAGTCCTGTGTTTTTATTTGCTAAATCTGGCAACTGTGTGTGTGCATGCAGGTATGTGCATGCACACGTATACATGTGCACATGTTAAATAGATGGTACATGGTACACTCAGCCTTTGCTATTTGGTGCAAGGAGTGGAAGAAGTGTCAGCCTAACACAGCCGTCCGTATACAACGAAATGGATCCATACTTGGACACGCCACAGTTGGATGTTGACATTCACAGCCAGACAGAACCCACTTCAGCCTGTGGAGTCTGATGTGACAGCTGGGCTTTGACAAAGATGATTACTCACCCCCTGTCAGAGCCCACTTAGGAGCCACAGTCACCTGCAGCTTGGCAATCGGCTGACCCAGACACAGCTGTAGAGGACCTAGTTAGACTCAGACAGACTGAGTTGGGTCTGGTGGTACAGGGCCAAAGACACATGATCACCCAGCCCAATGCAGCCAAACACTTGACAGACACAGGTCAGGCCAGCTGATCAGCTGGAATTAGGGGGAGCAGGTAGAGACCCCACAGACCAGATAGGCCAGGTCCAGATAGATGTGTGTGTGTGTTGAGGGGTAATGCCTATTCTCAGCACTGTGCTCTGGTGGAGGGGATGTTGTCAGGGCCAGGCACTGTGGGACTGAGAGGTAGCCCTGCTTGCATTGGCCAGCCTCTTGGCACCCCTTACCTGGGCCGGAGCTGGGATTGGCGGCGGATGACTGAGTAGCGAATGGCGATGACGCAAGCCTTCTGCAGCAGGGGTATGATCTCTTTCAACAGCAGCTCCACCCGCGTCACCACCATGGAAAGGTAGTTGCTCTGTGCTGTTCCGAGCTTGATGTAGGTGCCATCTGGCAAGACCTGGTAGACCAAGGACAAGTGCTGGGTCTGAGCCCGGGCTCCTCAGCCTGCCTACACCCAGAACCGTGGTCCTCCATGCCCTATGGGAACCACAGTCCTCAAACCACTTACCCAGAGCCGACACACCTGGCTGTCATCAGCCAAAATGTGCTCGTATGACTATGCTGCTGTTAAAAGTGAAACATCTGTGCTTGTTGCTAAATAGCCACTGCCTCAAGTGTGGGTCAGCCTGGGACACCCTGGACCAGCCCATAGTCCACAGCTAAAGGTAATGCCTCACAAAATGTGGACCTCTAGAACTTTCTCCACCACTTGGCTGGTGCCTGTTTAAGTGGTTGGTTGTGTCGAGGCCTCACTGTAGGTAAATACGCATGTCATCCTCAGCCCCATCCCTCTTCTCTTCAGGTTGCCTTGCCGCCCCATCCCATGACTGCTCTGCCACCTAATGAGGTGATCATTTACCCAAGAGAACTCTGAGGCTCAGAGGCCAAGAGACTTGCCCAAGATCACACAGCTCCTAAGCTGGGGTTTTACCCAGGTCTGTGGGACACCAGAGCCTCTCTGGGGGAGAAGTGTCCCAAACTCAGCTCAGTAGAGGAGGACCCAGGGCCAGGAGCAGCCTGGGAGGGCCACCGTCCACTCTCCAGGCAGTGCAGACTCCCCAGACCCCCACCTGTGCAAAGCGGCTCAGCATGTTTTCCCTGGGGATCCGCACGTGGTCCAGTCTCAGGAAGCCATTGTCTATGTGCTCAAAGCCCATCTTGGGCCCAATGTCTCCAGCAGTGATTCCTAGAAGGAGATAGAGTTGGGAATGTGGGTCCACTGAGTGTTTGCTGTGTGCCAGGCACCACACACATACACACTGCAGCTCCTGAGCCTCACAGCAGCCTGTGACACTGGGTTATTACACCTGTCTTACAGGTGACCAGGCTGAGGGTCAGACAGATGCTGAATCTTGCTCAAGATCATCGAGCTAATTAGCATTAGGTCTGTCCAACTAAACTCCTCCCTGCCCAAGGGTGACATGTCCCAGCTTTCCCCAGGGAGTTCTGAAGCCCTCAGGCAGGCAGCATTGGTAGGGGGTCTCCTTCTGGCTGGGGTCCTGGAGGGAGCAGCATGAGCTTACCTGGCAGTGGGGTGTGGTCGTGGAGGCTCCGGATGGGCACAATAAAGGCATGCATGCCCCGCCGGACTCCCGAGCAGATCAGCTGGGCCTGGACCAGGGCGTGGGTGGCTGACCGTCCCACTGAGGGCAGAGAGAGGAGAGGCAGAGTGTGATCCCTGGTATGTGAGGCCCTGGTGTACAAAGCAGGCTAACCCCACCAGGAACCTGGATGTGCGCCAGTCTATAATGGGTTAGGAAGACCAGTATGGTGGCATAGGGAAGGGAAGGGCACTTTATGAGGCTGGATGGGGTTGGTTTGATCTGCCTTAGAGGATGTAGGTCAGGGGAGGACCATAAGGAGCTCTGAGGATGAGGGGTGTTTTCCAGGGGAGTCACATGGGGAAGGGTGTGAAGGCAGAGGGAACAGCATGCTCAGAAGCTTGAGGACTGGATGGGCATGGGGGAGGGGGGTGCTGAGCAAGGAGGAGGTAGCATGCAGGACACAAAGGGATGCTTATTCAGGGTACCCCTCAACTCATATCGCCTTGACTTATTGGAAATGAAAGAACCATCCAAAGAGCTTTAATGTGAGTGTCTGATTCTAGAATACACTGGGTTGGAGGGATTTACGGAGAGCCATTTGGTGGCTGGAGGTATAGGGGCTTGTGTCTAAATGTCAGGTTTGCATAGCAAGCCCCTTATAATTACGTAGGCAAGACCCCCATGGGGTAGGGAGGCTCAAGGAGGCTGATGGAGACCGAGGGGACCCAACCTGTCCACATCCTTTGGGTGCTCCTTCCAAAGTCAAAGCCTGACAGAGGCTATGGATTTTAATGCAAACAGCCCAAATGGAACAAGCTGGGGAAGCTGGGCATCTATAAAAATTTGGTTCTATGACAGTTTTCTGACTGAAGTGGGAGCCCTTGAGTCTTTTGTGGGGAGGATCAAGGAGACAGGTATGTTTGTGAGGATGTGCGGCGAGAACATGGCGCAGAGGCACAGGGAGATGTGCTCACTGCTGCGTCTACCCCAGCTGCTGGGCACCTTGGAAAGTCACTGATCACAGAGAGGGGGACCCCCCCAAAGAGCCAAATAAATTTAGCTAAAGGCACAGTGAAATGAACAAGCTTTTTGTTTTTTCTGTCCTCAAAAACCTATTAATAAATTACTCTGCCATCAACGTAATTATAATAAATACAGTTAATTACCATTTATCAAAATCCAGGCGGTGCCAGACCCTGTGCTGGTGGTCTCCAGTTCTTACAGGGCAGGGTGCTGAGTCCCATTTTCCAGATAAGGAAACAGGCTCACAGAGCTGAGTGACAGCTCAAGGTTATTGGCCTGGAGAAGGCAGAGCTGGGATTTGAACTCTGCCTGATTTCAAAGGTGGGTTACTTTTCTTTGCAGTTTTGACAGGAGTCATTCTGTCTGTCTGTCTTTCTCTCTCTCTGTCCCCTCATTGCTCTCTCATGTCCCTCTCGTATTTCTCTTGCCTCTGTTTCTCCTCCCTCTGTTAGTCTCTCACCTCTCCGTCAATTCATTGTATATATATTTTTTCTGTATAAGCATTCCCTAATGGGTTCCCAACTACCACAGATGTGTCCTTGGAAGTGTATTCTCAAATCGGAGGAAGAGGGCCTTCCTTGGGGTGAGACTGCTTCCTTGGGGCCTGGCCAGTCACTGAGCCTCTGGGAAGCACCAGGCGGACGCCACCCAGTGGCCATGGGAAGTGCCGATGGCTTGATTGGCCTGGTGGTGGATCTGGAGCAGGGGCAGGGAGGGCTGTTTCTCTCACTGAAATCCCAGCGCCCTGTGCTCTGGCTGGTGGCAAGTTTTGAGAGATGAGAGAAACTGGGATTGTGGGGAGTGTGTGTGTTCTGTGCATGCACACGTGTGTGTCTGTGTGGGGCAGCGTGTGTGAGAGAGGCTTTGGCCCCATCCCCCAAAGGTTGGGTCGACTTCCTCAGTTACTTACAAGTTCCTCTGGGGAATCTCAGCCACTCACTGATGAAATCCTTCACATCTCACCTATTTTACAGAGTAAGAACCTGAGGCTCTGAGAAGTGAATTGACTTGCCGGAGGCCACTAGTCTAGTGCAGGGAATCTCTCTGAGGTCTTTTGGGCATCAAAGCCAGTGATATTCTGCCATCCAGCTTTGTTCTCCTTGGGGACAGATGGGGCTGGGCAGTGGGTGGATACTCACGGTCACCAGGCCACCATTTGGTGGCAGTTATTGTGGGGCTGTGCACCACAAACTCCTGGGTGTCTGCATCATAGGTGGCTTCAGTCTCCAGTCCCTGAAGATACGTCCCTTGGAATCAAGGAGGGGAGTTAGACATCGGGCCAGGGTGGGAATCCCACCTGGAAGCAGTGTGCAGGCACCAGCCCCCAGTGTTACTGGGGGGTACCTCCCAGCTATACTTATGGGCACTATTCTCCTTCCCCCCCCGGGCTATGTGGGGGACACATGGCCAGCTGATGACAAGGATGGTTGCTGACATTTCCAGAAGGAACTATTTGCCTCACCGTGAGCTCACACATTATATAAGTTAGAAAGTCACTACCCCTTTGTCCAGACCCTTGACTGCCACCTGCTGTAACACTTTCATATTCAGTATACAAATCTATGACTCCTGAGACATGAGTGGGCCCTGGCTCACCATGCCCCAGTTCTGTCTGTGCATATGTTGCAATGATCCGGAACTCATTGCTGATTGGGACCCATTTGGCAATCTGCTCCTCTGAGCCCAGGCTCTTGACAGCTTTCACGAAGATGTGATGTAAACCTAAGGCCAGGTCTCCAGAAAGCGTTCTGTGTGGGAGAGACATTGTGGTTGAGCAGCTCATTGGAGACAGGGGCCCAGGGACCCTCAACTGAGCAGGGTGCAGGAGGGAAGGGGCACCTTGAGTTCTAGTTTCCCAGTCAGTCCTGCCTTTGTTGGGGAAAAAAGCTCATGGGGCTGGGGCTTCTGGGTGATCCCAGGTGAATTCCTCTCTGGTGGGGCTGCCCTTGGAGTGAGCACCTGTGAGCGTAATGTAATTCACGACTGTCTTCCAGCCAGCCCAGGCGCTGTGCTACCCTCTGGAGGTGGAACTTCTTCTTAATGCCGGCTTCATAATGCTCATTCTGGCTCATGAAATAATTATCCTTCAGGCTAAACTCTGGGTCACTGTGGATGATGCTCTCTGCAAGGAACAGGCAACAGGGGGCTCAGGGACCTGAGCGAGGCTCCTGGCACCTTCACATCTTTCCACTCACTTGCCTCATGGCTGTGGAAAGGAAGTCAGACATTACTGTCATTTGACAGATGAGATGACTGAGGCCCAGAGCTGGGAAGGGGACTTGCTCAAGGTTACAAAGCTGTGCAGCAGCAGCCTAAGGACCAGCCTCCAGGTGGTCTGCCGCCTCGGACTTCTCCTTCTGTCCCTCAGATGGGCTCGGGGAATGCTGGCAGGTTAAATATGCCTTAGCGTGCAAAGGAATGAATCTGTAAGAGTTGAATTTTGAGGGCAAACTTTGTTATTTGAAGGTGGGACTGCTAGTGAAGGACTCTTCTTCCAAGAACAGCTATGCGCACAAAGCAGAAGCTCCGTTCCCATCCTCTTACCAACTCTCCTCCGGAGCGCAGTGTTCTGGGCACCTCCGTCGAGGATGTTGGTGAGTCTTTCCACGTCGAAGGACTGCTGGTGCCGCTCACTCTCTATGTCTGGGTGTACCTGCCTGCTCCAGGCGTCCCCCATCGACACTCGCGCCGGGCCGCCCGTCCTCACCTGGATCTGCATGCTGTCTGAGGAGAGAGATGGTGGCTTTCCCTTACCTGAGGTTTTGCTTCCCATAGTTTTGGTTATCTGTGGTCAAGCGCGGTCCAAAATTATTAAATGGAAAATTGCAGAAATAAACAATTCATAAATTTTAAATTGTGCAGCATTTTGAGTGCTGTAATGAAATCCCTCGAGTTCAGCTCCATCCTACCCAAGACATGAATCATCCCTTGTATATGTCACCATCCGTTAGTCACTTAGTATCATCTCAGTTTCGCGGTATCACAGAGCTTGTGTTCAAGTCACCCTTATTTTACTTAATAATGTCCCCAAGTGCAAGAGTAGTGACAATGGCAGTTCAGACATGCAAAGGAAGCACTTTATGTGAAAAGGTGAGTGCAGTAAGATGTTTTGAGAGATCACATCCATGTAACTTTTATTACAGTATATTGTTATAATTGTTCTATTTTATTAGTTATTGCTGTTAATCTCTTACTGTGCCTAATTATAAATTATACTTAATCACAGATATGCACAGGAAAAAACAGTGTGTAGAGAGTTCAGCTCTATTGCAGTTTTAGGCATCCACGGGGGTCACGGAACAGATCCGCTGTGGATGAGGGGGAACTGCAGCACGTCCGGCCTGGCTGCTCTGAGCCGCGGTGGTGCTGAGAACCTGTGTGCAGGAGGAACTGCCCAGGGCTGAGTGCCAGCCAGGGCTGCTTGGTGGAGGAAAGCAACTCCTCTTAAGTACTCAGTGCCCCTCCACCCTGCGCTCCTCCCTGTGCGTACTGGGCTGTGTCTTCGGCCTTGCCTAGGTGTCTTATGCAGGAATGGCTCAGGAAATGGTAGTTCGGTATGTTCGCCAAGATTTGGACAGGATCTGACCACAAAGCTCATTCTGTCCACTGAAGCTTGTGTTACAAGTTTTGCCTGGAGAGATCCTCACGAAAAGTCAATGAAGTTTGCACATGAAGAAAATGAATCTTCGAGAGATCGTGTGTGGCCTCTAGCTGCACAGCTGGAAGTGGCCAGGAGTTGGATGGGATCTGGTCACAAAGCACATGATGTCCACGCTATAGCCCTGCCGTGGGGGCTTCCTGGGGGAACCTGTGTCCCAGTCACCTGGTCTCCTCAGTCTGGGGCTTGTCTGCCCATTTCTATGAGCCTGGAGGGGTACTGTGGCGCTCAGAGGAGGAAGCTGGCTCTGTGCCTGTGAAGTGTTCTCCCTGGATCTCCTGTGTGTCCCTCATATTCAAGGTGGGTCCTGCATCTTTCACAGCAGACCCTCGGCCTCCCCACAGCAAGGCAACCACTGGGTACAGTCAGTTCTACTGCTCAAGTCTCTCAGATCCATCTGCTCCTTCCATCCCGTGGCTGCCACCCAGGCTGCCATCATCTCTCACCTGGCCTCAGTGTCCCTTGTCTGTCCTCCCAGCTGCTGGATGGACTCATGAACTGCATGTTGTTTTCCTCCCCTGCGTGGAATTTGCCCCTCGACCCTCTGTTTGTGGAATGGAGCCCACACTCTCCCTTTCCTTCTGCATTTTGCCTCTGCTCTGTCTCCTGATGTTCCTACTCAGCCCCAGCCTCCAGGGACCCCTCCTCGAAGAAGCCTTCCTGGCAGCACCCCATGGGAGAACCCAGCACCCCTTCAGGGCCCTTATTTACTCCATCATCCCTCTCCCAAGGCCGTGAGTGCCTGGGGATTGGCTCTGCTTCTTCTTGGGTCCCAAGAGCCTTGCTCACAGGAGGCAGGCGGTAAACCTTCCCCGCAGGTGCCACCACTTTGATTCCCTTTATTTTTTGCCACAACCCTGCAGATCACTACTGGTACTGTTACTGGTTTATAGAGAGGACAGGAGCTTCAGGAAAGGAGGAGACATTGTAAGGTTTTATAGCCACATGGGGCAAATGGGATTCATATGCATGCTTCCAAACCAATACCTCTAAGTGGTGGCTGAGCCGTGGAGGCCTGACAAGGGGCCTGGCATGGTCATGGGGCCCCCTGGATCCCTGCAAAGCCACCTAGCCTCTGTTCTGTCCCACCTCCTCTCTGCCTCTTGTTCCATCTACTCCAACTCCTGCTGCCTCCTCCCCTCGCCCCCAGCCTCTGCCAGGGCTGTGTTCTCTCCCTGGACACGCTTTCCCAGAAGTCCTCAGCTCCGTAATTACCTCTTTTAAGTCTCTGATCAGTTGCCTTCTCAGTAAGGCCCCCTTGACCACCCTGTTTAAAATCCCAAGACCCCTCCCCCTGTATCCCAGCCCCCCTCACTCGGCTCTGCGTTTTCTTTTCCGGCTTGTCCTACCACACAAGATAATTTACCCACTTATTCTGTTTCTGTTTATTGCTGTCTCCCCCTACTAAAAGGTAAACTCCAAGAGAGCAAGGATCTTTGTCACCTTCATGCTGTTGCTCTAACCCTTGGCACAGGGCCCGGCCTGAAGGTAGAGTCTAGTAGATAAGTGTCGAGTGAAAGCAAGTGCTCAGAGTCACTGGGAGCCGCGGAGAAGGTCATTACTTAGGTGGTCCAGTCGCCAGGGGTCTCCCAGTCCCCGCGTCCCTCAGCCCGGACCCCCTGACTCACCTCTGTGCTGTGTCTGCACCGCAGGCCTGGCCGGGCCTCTCCAGCCGGACGCCTAGGCTTCCAGGGAGCAGCCCAGCCCCTTTCCCCTCCCTTGGAGGGGAGGTACTACCCTGGAGGCCTCCTCCCTCGGCCGCCGGCTGAGCTCACTCCTGCCCTCTGTCTCCCTCTTACGGGGGTGTGACAGCACTGTGCCCAGCGCCAGCTGCCCTGGGAGGATTGCTGTGACCGTGATGAAGCAGGACGGACAGCTTAGCCTGAAGCTGGCCGGGCAGCTCAGCGAGGGCCAGCTGCGAGCTGCTGTCTTCCTCTTCCTCTTCCTCTTCCTGCCTGCCTGGCCTGCTCCTGGGAGAATGCACACACTGCACTCTGCATAAAGAAACCCC